TGAGACAGTTCAGCAAGCAAAATCAATTGTTATGTAAGCCTGATGACATGAGTTCAATTCCAGGTACCCATGATAGAAGGGAAAGAACTTATAAAGATTGTTTCTCTGGCCTCAATGGACCTCTGCACTCAAACACACATCACATACACACACACAATAACAATTTAATAATAATTTAAAAATTATAAACAAAGTAATAATATAAAAAATTTAAATCTACATGTAAAATCAAGAGTCTATCACACTTTTTTTAGGGTTTCTCTGTAGCTTTGGAGCCTATCCTGGAACTAGCTCTTGTAGACCTGGCTGGCCTCAAGCTCACAGAGATCTGCCTTCCAGTGTCTCCTGAGTTCTTGGATTAAAGACATGCGCCACCACTGCCTGGCTCTGTCACACTTTTAAGATTTATCTTCCGTGCTGAGGGGGGGCAGGGTGTTTAAAGGTGTTGGAGGAGGCCAGAAGGCATCAAATCACCTAGAGCTGGACTTAACAAGCTGTTATGAGCCACCTAGACTAGGTTCTAGTAACCAAACTCAGTACCTCTGCAAGAGCAGCAAGCAGTCAACTACTCAGCCATCTCTCCAGCTCCACACCAAACCTTTTAGTTGTGGATTTACAAGCTAATAATTCAATAAACTCAAGACAGCAAGTTTTTTCCCAGTTTTTTGAGATGGGGTCTTACTACACAGCCCTTGCTGGTCCAATACTCACTCCATACCCCCAGGCTAACCTCAAATACACAGCAATCCATCTGCCTCAGCTTCCAAGGGCTGGGATTATAGGCATAGGATAGTGATTTATATATTAGTTCCATGATGACCGAGATTAGTTTTTCACAATAATGCCAAATGTATACTTGCTATGTAGACCAGGCCTTAAACTCAGCCTCAGCCTCAGTTGTCTGTTTATTTTTAAAACAGCACAGGAGGTTAAAGACAGGACCTGACATGCTGGGCAAGTGCCTGACCACTGAGCAATCTCCTAGTCCTCTGAAGTACCCATTCTTGTCTCCTTAGGTACAAGCAAAGAATGCCTTCACATTCCTAACCTCAGCCTCCCAGGTGGGACAACTTATCTTTCATGGGCTACTACTGCTAGAAACGTGGCAGAGTATGAATGTAACGAATATATATTGGCTCAGTGGTAGAGTACTGTCTAGCTTGTGTGAGGCCCTCAGTTCAATCCCCCAGACTACCACCCCACAAAATCAAAAAGTACTTACTTTACCTTTATTTCTTCCAGTATTTATTATTTCAACTCTTTTCATACTAGTCTTTGGCTACCATATTCACATCCTATCCATCTGCTTCTAATTTTCAACCTTTTTAAAGGTTAAAAATTTTAAAGGATAAAAATCATTTATCCCAGATACTCAGGTACAAACCTTGACTTTAACTTTGACACATCCTCATTTTTAATAAGAAGAATAGGGGCTAGAGAGACGGCTCAGTGGTTAAAAGCACATGCTGCTCTTCCACAGGACCCAGGTTCAATTCCTAACACCCACCTGGTAGCTCACACCTGTCTGTAACTCCAGTTCCAAAGCTTCTGACACCCTCACACAGGCACACACACAGGCAAAACACCAATGCACATAAAATAAAAATAATAAGGATGATGAAAAGAGGTAGGACACACTGAATTATATATATATATATATATATATATGAGAGAGAGAGAGAGAGAGAGAGAGAGAGAGAGAGAGAGATTCACTTTAGACGAGGCTGGCGTTGAACTCAAAGAGATTCACCTGTCTCCGCCTCCTGGTACTGAGACTACAGTTGTGTACCATCACACTTGGCCTACATTGAATTCCTAGTATGTGCAAGGCACTATTCTAAATGCTTTGCAATAGTAACTGATAAACTACTAGATACTCTTATTAATTCTTATTTTACAAATGCTGAGCCCAATATATAACTTGCCCAGGATCACATAGGAAATAAACAGTCAGGGATCCAGGGCTCCCACCTGGATCACAATGCCAAAGAGAATGCTGAGAATCAAGTCCTTAATCCCAGCACTTGTGAGGCAGAGGCAGGTGGATCTCTGAGAGTTCAAAGCCAGCCTGGTCTACAAATAGAGTTCCAAGGCAGCCAGGACTATTACACAGAGAAACCCTGTCTTGGGGGTTCAAGTCCCTTAAGTTCATGAAGGACTCACATTCAACATTCACAAGGCTCTCAGAATGCAACAGGTACTCAAAAGCACTCGTAACTCACTAAATAAACAGAACTCACCTTGAACTCACCGCCTACTCCCATTGCTGCTAATCCACTGACTTTAAGGCCAAGTTCCCAGCATTATATTTCATACCTGAGTTTATTGATAAAATCTATAAACTACAGCCAATCAACTAAACTGATGAAACTTTCTGCCAGAGTACCCATAATCCAGTCTCTTTCAATTAAATGTTTTGTTCCTATTACTTCTCAGAGTAATCAAGTTACAAACTTAAAGGGCAGCTCTTTCAGACAAACTCAAAGATGGCAGCTGGGTGCTCACTTCCATAATACCAGCATCTGAGTATGAGTGAGTAGGGGTTGCAAGTCCGACGGTGGCCTCCACTACACAAAGACCCTACACATGTGCATGCTGGCACACCTCTTTAATGCCATCACTCAGGAGGCAGAAGCAGGCCAATCTCTGTGAGTCTGAAGGGCAACCTGTTCTACGTAGTGAGTTCCAGGCCAGCCAAGGTTGCACAGTTAGGCTCTTTATCACAAAAAGAAAAAAAAAATCCAATTTTGCTCTAGTGTCTCCTGACTATTTCATCCACGACTTCCCACTGTCTTCTACCTAGTCTGCTCTTTCCAGCTCCACAGGCCCAAATCAAGTGTGGCCTTCAAAACCCCCTTTGTCCATTATTTACGACTTCTTACAGGCCAAAGAAGGACGGGGTCACCACTGCCCACTGGGCTACACTTAACACAGTAACCCCATAAAGCAAAGCCATATGAATTTCTTCCTGAAAGCAGTTAACCCTGTTCCCAATGTTTCAGTATGTCAACAAACACTTTATGAATAGCCCCTGCATAGAAACTCACACACCTTGATGAGCTGCACAAGCACATCTTTAATAGTGAGCACATAAAACTTAAAACTCAGATGGCCCCAAATCACCTACCTCCTTCATTAAGAAACAACTCTGGAGCTGGACTGATGCCTCAGTAGTTAAGAGCACCCACTGCTCTTGCAGAGGAGCTGGGCTCAATCACCAGCACCCACATGGCAGCTCACCAAGCATCCAGTTCAGGAGAAGACCTGATGCCTTCCTTCTGGCCTGTCTGGGCATCAGGTATGCATGCATATGGCACACAGACATACATGCAGCAAAACACCCAAGCACATAAACATTTTAACCGGCTTTTAAAAATTCAAAAAGGAAAAGGGAAACAAAGGAGTCCAAATGCAGAACTCAGACACAACTCGACCAACAGCTACAAACCGCTGGGACCTCTTTTTGGCACGCTACGATCTATCGTCACCCCCCTTCCTCGTGACTAGTTTGCACTTCTTAACCTTCCCTCTCCCCAAACTATGCGGTGTGGGACAGTGTTTATCCTTTAGTTTGCTTCTCAGTGAAACTCTACTTTGCTACTTCTCAACCAGTTTCTACCGGCCAGTCCTTTCTCTAGAAGTCACATCTACATCAGCAGCCTCTTGAGGGTCTTAGGGTATCTTCTGCCTTTCCCCCCTTCTCTAGTCTGCCCTCTCTAGGAACGTTCTCTGAAAAAGGGTCGACAACACTACAGAGGAACAAAAAGATCCACTTGGCCTCAGGGGAAAATAATAATAATTGTTTTTTTTTTTTTTTTTTTTTTTGCTGCTGCTGCTGCTGAGGCTTGAACTCAGGGCCTCGGTCAAACTGTGTGCAATGTCACTGATTTACAGAACTCTATACTCAATTTTTCCCACTGCACTCTTTCTTACACTCATTTCTGTTTGTTAATTACATTATTAGAGCATATAATAAAGACACACAAATTAATAAGAGTATGTGCCCAAAATCTGTATCTACTAAGAGTTTAGAGACACTGGACCAACAGAACGGCTCAGTAAAGGCACTTGCCTCCCAGCCTGATGATGAAGGAGTTCAAAACCTGGAACTCACATGGTGGAAGGAGAGAAGGGATTCCCCGAGTTGTCTTCTGAGCTCTGCATGAATACGCCCGCACACACACACTCACACACAAAATAAATGTAATTTTAAATAGTTTAGAGACAGCTCTTCTGAGGACGCGCTATGAGACGGCTCAAGTTCCATACGACCTAGAGCACCTATGCATATATGTACATGCAACTGCGGCTCAAAGAAAACTCACATTCCTTTCCCCAATCATACCCACCCATCTACAGCCCTGCCAGCCATCTCAGAATCCTGGGTCCTACTCAGACACACAGAACAGGGTGGTTTGGCAAAGCCCTTCATTTTCAGTTTAGGGAAAATACTCTATTGAAAGTAAAGAGATACTAAAAAGGGTTCACAACTCACTATTCTGACACTGCTCGATGCCTGACTAATAAAACACACACCGAATAGGCCACGATCTCAAGATGCAGTACCTATTTCCCAATTCCTCAGGGCACGACTCGTTCCCGTCGTTAACAACCGGTTTATCCTCCCACCTCCAGAACCTGAGTTCATACCTGCCTTCATTCTTCCCTCCCTAGGGACACTATCCCTCGTTCCACACTCGCCCCGTCCAGTCCCAGGACAGCAGACAGTCTAGCCTAGGTCCCTAAGACCCCTGGTTGCTCTCTCTGCCGCCGCCGCCCCCAGACGCTGCCAGCCAGGCTGGAGAGCCGAGCCGGGCGGGGGGAGGGGTGTGCCTCGCCTCCCGTGACTGGCCCAGATGGCAGCAGATTCCGCCCCCACTCGCGGGCACCCCTCCAGCCCTGGCCCCCCGAGGGCTGCCCGTCCACCTCGCACCTCGCCCCTACCCCACCCCATCTCCGGCCCCCACCTCACGCCCTCCGCCGGCTCCGGACACACTCACCGTGCTGGGTGAAGACGTTGAAGCCGGTGTCTGCGGTACGCCCCGCCGGGTCCCGCCTGCGGCCCGAGGGCCTGGCTGCGCTGCTGCCCCGGATCCCGCGCGGCTGCGGCTGCTGGAGCCCGGGAGCCTCCCCGACGCGGCCCACCTGCTGCCCCATCCCGCCGCTCGCGTACTCCCGCGCCCCCGCCGACCCCTGCTCACATTCCTCCTCTGCTCCGGCCTCGGAGCTCCTGGCGCCGCTCCGGCCTCTCCAACCCGAGCCCAGGCCTCCCGGGCCCGAGTCGCCGGCGGCTCCACACGAGGACTCCTTACAGCCGCCGCCGCGCTGCCTCCCAGCGACTCACAGACTCTCCTTCTCCCTCCCCCTCCGGCGGCTCCGCACCCCAGCCGCCGCCGCCATCTTTAAACCACCGAGCACAGGGCGAGCGTGGGACAGAGCGTCTCCCGCCCCCTCTCGCCAGGCACCTCCGCTACTCGGAGGGCGGAGCTCCTGGTGGCCCCGCCCCGCGCCGCGCCCCGCTGGGTAGAAGCTAGGGCCCACTGCTCCTCCGAAGCTCTCGGGTGGGGGGGGGGGGGGGCGCTGGTGCTTCGCTGCGCCGGGCGTCCGGGTCCGAACCCGCCGGTGCGGACGATCGCCCACGTCCGACTCCACACACCAACTCCCTTGGGAGTGTATGAATCCCCAGTCTTTCCTGACCCACCTCCACCTGTCAAGTCAGAGGAGGTTGAGAACCCACCACGTGCACAGCTCAGCGGCAAGCAGCTGAGACTCGTGAATCCCGGTGCTTCGCTGCCATTCAAATGAGGAGCGCTTCACACAGTTAGCAGCAGGCCTAGAGTGAAGTTTCAAATGGGTACAAAATTACCGGGCAGGGTTAGCTTAATTTTAATTTGGCGGATTATTTCTTGATGTCAAATTACATTCGCCTAGGTTGGGTGCACTTTGCGGTGTTATTGGCAAAGCAGTTATAGCCCAAACTCCTTGTATGACATGGATAGCTCTTGAACTCTTCTGCCATCTGCCTAACCGCGTGTGTTTGTTTGCTTTAAACGCTCAACAGTAAAACTAATCTCCCCACAGACGTGTTTTCCTCACTGTGCACGAGGTCAGGCCCTCCTTTGTTGACAAGGAAAAAATAATCGCTTTGACCTCGTTTCTGAGTCAGAACTTACTCATCTTTAGCTTCTGGTGTCTAAATAGTGACCGGGGCAGAAGAGAAATGGTTTCTATTGACATAAACCCTGTGTGCAATTGTCTCGCCATCCCGGCCCCACTGTGTGTTCTGTCATTTAATGTTGAGCCAGTTGTTGCTTTTTTTAATCCTCGAAGACTCTATGATGCTTATTTCCTGCTATTCCCTGGACTTCCTTGTTAGTTTTGTTTTGAAAAGGCTTTGTTTCTGGACATAACACTTGAAATTTTGCATGAGGACCAGAGCCATTGGGAAGAGTGGGGAAGACCACCACAGGAAGAGTTGGCCACATAGGTGCAGTTCTACCCTCCATCTCTTTTGTAGAACTGTACAAGGCCACAGCTGTGTGTTGCTGAGACTGAAACTCGGGGCCTGGCGCTCCAGGCGAGGGTGCTACCACTGAACAACACACCCAACCTCCAGCTGATTTTGATACACTCACTATTCTAAGAGGTTTAGGGGCTGGGGAAAGATGGGTTAGTGTCAGAAACGTACTTTGTACAACAAGCCTGACCACCTGGACTTGGAGCCCCAGAACTCATACAAAAAGCTACTGGCCGACTCACCGCCCACACTGGTCGTCCAGCCAACTAACTTTCGGACCATGGCTAACCTCGAGCGTACCTTCATTGCCATCAAGCCAGATGGCGTGCAGTGCGGCCTGGTGGGCGAGATCATCAAGCGCTTCGAGCAGAAGGGGTTCCGCCTGGTGGCCATGAAGTTCCTTCGGGCTTCTGAGGAACACCTGAAGCAGCACTACATTGACCTGAAAGACCGTCCTTTCTTCCCAGGGCTGGTGAAGTACATGAACTCCGGGCCCGTGGTGGCCATGGTCTGGGAGGGGCTCAATGTGGTGAAGACAGGCCGAATGATGCTGGGAGAGACCAATCCAGCTGACTCTAAGCCAGGCACCATTCGAGGGGATTTTTGCATTCAAGTTGGCAGGAACATCATTCATGGCAGTGATTCAGTTCAAAGTGCAGAGAAGGAGATCAGTCTATGGTTTAAGCCTGAAGAACTGGTTGACTATAAGTCTTGTGCTCATGACTGGGTATATGAGTAGAGATGATAGTTCTCAGCATTACTGATGGATCCCTGGGCACAACTCTTCATTCCACAGAATGGATCATCTTTTCTAAAACAATAAAGACTTTGGAACTGGAAAAAAAAAAAAAGCTACTGGCCATAGAAGCCGGATGCACTAGCCCAAGCTCTGTGACCCCAGTTTGTCTACAAGAAGGTGGGAGACAGAGATGGGAGTGTCTCCAGAAACCCACAGGCCAGCTAGCCTGGCATATGTGTGCTGTGCCTAAGGGAGCCTGTCTTAAGCAAAGCACATAAGGTAAGACCTGGCAAAGTTGTCTTGTGACCCCCCACATGAACACATGCAGGCACACACATGCATGCACATTAAGAATACTATTAAATTATTCCATTGCCACCCAGTGTGTGGTCAGCACTGAATTTAGCTATCATAGGAAAAGAAGCACTATACTTTAGCATTGGATACAATATGAGTTTTCATTTATATCAAAGATTTCTTATATTTAAAATACTTTTTTTTTCTGGGAGTCACGGTATGCCCTTGCTATTGTAACTAACAGTCCAGAGGCAGGAGGATCACAAGTTCAAGGTCAGAGTAACTGCATAGTAAGATCCTGTCAAAAAATAAATCACAAGCCGGGCGATGGTGGCGCACGCCTTTAATCCCAGCACTCGGGAGGCAGAGGCAGGCGGATCTCTGTGAGTTCGAGACCAGCCTGGTCTACAAGAGCTAGTTCCAGGACAGGCTCCAAAACCACAGAGAAACCCTGTCTCGAAAAACCAAAAAAAAAAAAAAAAAAAAGAAATGGTAAAAAATAAATCACACACACGCACGCACACACACACACACACACACACACACACACACACACCATGGTGGATATTTGCCTTCCCGTGTGGTATTTCCAACTGCTAAGAGAGCTGAAGCAGGGAGATTGCATGAATTTGAATGAGACCAGCCTGTGTGGCATAGCAAAATGCGGTCTCAAAATCATTTCTTTTTTTTTTCTTTTAAGTCACAAAATGGTTGCAGCTACGAAAAAAAATTAATTCACAAAGCATAAATATGATCATAAGAATAGAATTTGTTTTTCTGTTTAGTTTTTATTTACCCAGGGAATTTCAATTTGGTGACAATAGCTTGGCTTCTCTGCTAATTCATGATTGATGGGCAGTAATTGCTGTGTAGAACGGTGCTGTGTAGAACGGTGCTGTGTAGAACGATGCTGTGTAGAACGATGCTGTGTAGAACGATGCTGTGTAGAACGATGCTGTGTAGAACGATGCTGTGTAGAACGATGCTGTGTAGAATAATGCTGTGTAGAATGATGCTGTGTAGAATGATGCTGTGTAGAATGATGCTGTGTAGAATGGTGCTGTGTAGAACGGTGCTGTGTAGAATGATGCTGTGTAGAACGGTGCTGTGTAGAACGATGCTGTGTAGAATGGTGCTGTGTAGAATGGTGCTGTGTAGAACGGTGCTGTGTAGAATGATGCTGTGTAGAATGATGCTGTGTAGAACGGTGCTGTGTAGAATGATGCTGTGTAGAATGATGCTGTGTAGAACGGTGCTGTGTAGAATGATGCTGTGTAGAATGATGCTGTGTAGAACGGGGCTGTGTAGAATGATGCTGTGTAGAATGATGCTGTGTAGAATGATGCTGTGTAGAATGGTGCTGTGTAGAACGGTGCTGTGTAGAATGATGATGTGTAGAACGATGCTGTGTAGAATGATGCTGTGTAGAACGGGGCTGTGTAAAATGATGCTGTGTAGAATGATGCTGTGTAGAATGGTGCTGTGTAGAACGGTGCTGTGTAGAACGATGCTGTGTAGAATGGTGCTGTGTAGAATGATGCTGTGTAGAACGGTGCTGTGTAGAACGGGGCTGTGTAGAATGATGCTGTGTAGAATGATGCTGTGTAGAATGATGCTGTGTAGAACGGTGCTGTGTAGAACGGTGCTGTGTAGAATGATGCTGTGTAGAATGATGCTGTGTAGAACGGTGCTGTGTAGAATGATGCTGTGTAGAACGGTGCTGTGTAGAATGATGATGTGTAGAACGATGCTGTGTAGAATGATGCTGTGTAGAACGGTGCTGTGTAGAATGATGCTGTGTAGAATGATGCTGTGTAGAATGGTGCTGTGTAGAATGATGCTGTGTAGAATGATGCTGTGTAGAATGATGCTGTGTAGAACGGGGCTGTGTAGAATGATGCTGTGTAGAACGGTGCTGTGTAGAATGATGCTGTGTAGAATGGTGCTGTGTAGAATGATGCTGTGTAGAATGATGCTGTGTAGAATGATGCTGTGTAGAACGGGGCTGTGTAGAATGATGCTGTGTAGAATGATGCTGTGTAGAATGATGCTGTGTAGAATGATGCTGTGTAGAATGATGCTGTGTAGAATAATGCTGTGTAGAATGATGCTGTGTAGAACGGGGCTGTGTAGAATGATGCTGTGTAGAACGGTGCTGTGTAGAATGATGCTGTGTAGAACGGGGCTGTGTAGAATGATGCTGTGTAGAATGATGCTGTGTAGAATGGTGCTGTGTAGAACGGTGCTGTGTAGAACGGGGCTGTGTAGAATGATGCTGTGTAGAATGATGCTGTGTAGAACGGTGCTGTGTAGAATGATGCTGTGTAGAATGATGCTGTGTAGAATGATGCTGTGTAAAACGATGCTGTGTAGAATGATGCTGTGTAGAACGGTGCTGTGTAGAATGATGATGTGTAGAACGATGCTGTGTAGAATGATGCTGTGTAGAACGGGGCTGTGTAGAATGATGCTGTGTAGAACGGTGCTGTGTAGAATGGTGCTGTGTAGAATGATGCTGTGTAGAACGATGCTGTGTAGAATGATGCTGTGTAGAATGGTGCTGTGTAGAATGATGCTGTGTAGAATGATGCTGTGTAGAACGGTGCTGTGTAGAACGATGCTGTGTAGAACGATGCTGTGTAGAATGATGATGTGTAGAACGATGCTGTGTAGAATGATGCTGTGTAGAACGGTGCTGTGTAGAATGATGCTGTGTAGAATGATGCTGTGTAGAACGCGGCTGTGTAGAATGATGCTGTGTAGAACGGTGCTGTGTAGAATGGTGCTGTGTAGAATGATGCTGTGTAGAACGATGCTGTGTAGAATGATGCTGTGTAGAATGATGCTGTGTAGAATGATGCTGTGTAGAATGATGCTGTGTAGA